TCTCTGAGACGTCGTATGACACTTTTTGCAGAACGATATCGGCAGAATGCTATTTTTCATCTACACCTTATCAGGAGCAACTTCCTCCTCCTTTCCTGAATGAGTTAGCCTATAAATTTCCAGCCTTCTAGTCAGATGCATTTGGGTCTGTGCAGCATGAATACAACCCTCATCACCAAGTCGGTTTAACATCCACCCGGCTTAAGATTGGGGAAAACCTGTATTTTTGAAACGGAATGGTACTGGTTAACTTCTTACCCTTCAAGATATTAAGGGTCAAAGCCAACACTGGGCCAGCGGTTGGTGGAGGAGTGCTAAGTAATGTCATGTCGTCCAACTTGCTTTTTAGCACGGGACGAAACTCTACTTTGTAGTTTTTGAGATCTTTCAAGGTTAACACTCCTCCAGCGTTGCGGACTTCTTTTATTATTGATTTACTCATTGGCCCGTTATAGAATGGTTCTGCACTTCCTGCTCGTGCAATAAGTTGTAGTGTTTTAGCCAACTGCGGTCTTTTAAGAAGGTCTCCTTTTCGAAGAAGCTTTCCGTTTTTGGTAAACACTCGTCTGTGTAAATTAAAGTGTAAGACAAACGCTAATTAATATGTTGTGGTTAAACTGTAGTCTGTAACCTCTCTGGGTATATTGTGAACCTTGAAAACTGCTATTTGTCTAGGTCATTATTTAATAGCTAGGGGTGTTTGTGTCGAAACGCACGTGTTTTAACTGACCAACTAGCCGATCAAAGCACTATTTCTTTTGGAGTATAGGCTAAACAACCAATTAAATTCAATATAAGAAGAAATACTGCTTCACGGAATACAAGTGATCGAGTAACACATGATGTGTCAAGAGGTATTCCCCATTGATTAATTGATTAATTAGACAGCCTTTCCATGCCATAAATAAGTTAAACAGTCACTTGACTAAACAAAACAACCAACCATTCCAGTAATCAATTAATCTATCGATTAGTCGTTAAATCGATAAGTAAAAAATGGCTATCAGTCGACCCGGCATAGATCGGTATATCAGCCGATCGAACTATTAATCCACCAATTAATCAATTAGTCAGTAAGTCAATTAATCCTTAAAATCATCAAAAATTTCGGACAGCAAAAAGTCTTAAGCAGTTATTCCAATACAATGACATATAACCTCACCTAAATGTCTTATCCTTCATGAGGAGATCTTTCCAAATGCCAATTGCTATGTCGACCGTCTCTGGAATGATGAAACCTTTGTTTGCAATGCGAATGGCTGGTTTAAACAATTCTTCCCATGGCAGCTTGCCGTATTTCTTCCAAGCTGCTTCCAGGCCTCGCAGTTCACCGGGAACTGCTACAGCTAAGCCACCTAGAAATGGAAAGGGATTATTGATGCTGTTCTTTCCAACTTAGTTATATTTCTGAATTCTTGGAAAGTTGCACTTTCAAAATAGGTTGGAAAATTGCAAGCTATAAGGATTGATAAATAGTGGGTGGAAGGGGGATTTTTGCTGTGATTTTGGAAGCCTGGGTCTTAGAGAAATGAGATCTATACCTTATTGTATCACAACTTTCAAAATGGAGTGCAATTGTGTGATCGGCGGAGATCATTTTCACAAGATAGTTTTTAGCCAATGGATGTGAAGCCTGTGTGACCGGTAGTTTCATGGATTCCAGGTCTAAACCCTATTTTCCCATCCTCACACGCTCTGAAATTGAAATGTTTGAAATACGCTTTGGTAATTTTCTGTGTTTAGTTGATAATTTTGATTGACCGTTTGTAACTATTGTTGAACTTTAGAAGCTAACCAGTGTCCCAATTCCGGTGTGTGAAATCTTACCCAGGATCCCATTCATCGGATTTCCTTTAAACAAATCCACCTCGGCTCGTTCAGGCGCAGTCTCTCTAAAGTCGATCATCTCTGCTGACCGCTTGTGACTGTCGTAGACCATCATGAACCCACCACCTCCAATTCCGGTGGAGTGCAAGTTGATTACACCAACACACAGTATGGCTGCTATGGCAGAGTCAACAGCAGAACCTCCTTTCTTTAAAATGTTACGTCCGATTTTAGAACATTCAGCATTGTCAGAAGCTACAGCGGCATGTTGATAAAAGTGCTGTTTGTTTGGAAGTTTGGCTTTTACTGCACTGCAGATAAGACGGAACGAAGCATAACTTCTCATGCATAGCGCATTTTTTTGGATTTCGTGAAACCCAAAACAAAGTTATCACAAAATGCAATCAAAAGAAAGAAAAATATCACGTGGAGTCAATGGAAACTTGCGTAGCACGGGAAAACGCCAGTCATCAAGTCACAATTGGTTTTAGCTTTCAATTTGATTGGTTAAAAAAAGACGCGCGAGTTTTTTGGACCAATCATACAGCAAAAAAAAGAGAAACCAAAGCAGTCCTGGTTTATGTTGGACACTCATTTGAAAATCCTTTCTGTGATCAGCAACGTTATAACTTGAATACTGTGTGACTGTGTTAAGCAACCTTTCGATAGATTTGATGGTCAATCCGCATTTACTTTGTTTCTTGATTCAACTACTGTTTGTCCATGGCTTTCTTTTGTCCCTGGTCTTTATATGTTCTAAACGTTTCTACTAGTTAAGTTCCAAGTGCGGACATTGTACTATCCGTCATCCTCGAATCTAAAGGTGTAAATAGAATAAGGAACCTTGATCTTTTTTTAGCCAGGTCGATTAAAGACTGTCGTTATTCATTTTGTTACAAGCTTGGGATGAAGGAATAAATGAGTCTCCGAGTGGTATGGTAATAATAATAATAATAATAATAATAATAATAATAATTTTATTAATTTCTATTGCGCAATTATCAATATAAATTTTCAATTGCGCATTACAATATGATCTTAATACAAATATATAAAAATACAAATGTAAATGTAAATTTAAATTTAAATATATATTGCGCATGCTCACTAGTTTATTCTAATTTGAGCACTCTGGCATGGCTTACACGATACCACAAATGTTGTGTCGTTTGGGGTGACCCTCCCGATTCTCCCCCATCTTAGCATCAGCACTGCACTGATGAGGCCGAGAAGGCCGAAACAGTACTGTCTGCAGTTAAATTTAAATATGTAAATACAAGTAGGAAATATGAAATATATATATTCTGTATACGAGGGAAACCCTGACCCTGTACACCTCAAGTAATCATACATAAATAGAATAAATGTTTGAAAAGAAAATTTGTCCTGAGCGGGATTTGAACCCACGTTCCCCTGTTACTAGTCAGGTGCGATGACCACTACACTACCAGGACAACCATGCTGGCAACGCGGCGATCGAAGATGTGATTTACGTGATCGGAGACGTGGTCTCCCGGGAAAATTAGTTTTCAAGGTGACAGGGTAGGGGAAGCCTAGAACCCCATATGAAACCCAACTAAGGATCTATTCAAGATACACGACCGAAGTCAACTTAGAGGATGACAAAGGAGGATCCATGTACGGATACAGGCTAATTTCAATTGAACAAATTCCGCATACGGGGGAAACCCTGACCCTGTACACCCCAAGTAATCATACTTAAATAGAATAAATGTTTGAAAAGAAAATTTGCCCTGAGCGGGATTTGAACCCACGTCCCCCTGTTACTAGTCAGGTGTGATGACCACTACACTATCAGGACAACCATGCTGGCAACACGGCAATCAAAGATGTGATTTACGTGATCGGAGACGTGGTCTCCCGGGAAATTTAACTTTTCAAGGTGACCGGGTAGGGGAAGCCTATAACCCCATATGAAACCCAACTAAGGATCTATTAAAGATACACGACCGAAGTCAACTTAGCGGATCACAAAGGAGGATCCAATTACGGATACAGGCTAATTTCAATTAAACAAATTCTGTATACCCGACTAGTAACAGGGGGACGTGGATTTAAATCCCGCACAGGGCAAATTTTCCTTTCAAACATTTATTCTATTTAAGTATGATTACTTGGGGTGTACAGGGTCAGGGTTTCCCTCGAT